TCAACATTTTGCTTGCCCCAACTGCTATCCTCTACTTCACACAGCCACAAAAATAATCAATTGCCTCTAACTGTTTTCAACAAGGCTCTTCACTCTGGGCAGCTTCCAATCAGGTCAAATAAAGATAGCCTTGCAAGTGGGGGTCTCCAGGGTCTGACAGACAAGTCAAATAATGACATTTCTCTGGGTATTTGGCTGTGAAAGAACTCCAATCCCATTCTACCCCCCTCCAGGGACTGCTAGATGGCTGGTTTTCACTGTAGTTGCAGGCTGTTGGTTTTTAAGTCTTCTATAGAACTGAAGAGGGAGGATGAGAACAGGGCAAGTTACAATATCACAGTGTTTGTTGTTCTTACAGAGATTCAGCCTTTTTCTAGAATAAATGCTCCCCAGACTGGGGCAAGCCCTTAGTTAATTTTCAAAGTTCTAAATGTTGGTTCTGGTTATTTTTGCCAATTTCTCATTGATTTTATGGAGAATTTTCAGAGCTCCTCACTCCAACATTTTTGCTGATATCCTACCACGTACTCTTTGTTTTTTTAACCTAAAATGCCTTTCTATATCCAGTCCCACTACCCTGTTCAGATGTTGCCTCCTAGATGCGGGTGTGGCTTTTCTGAGGACACTGTCTCCTTGCTACTCGCTGCCACCTTTCCCCTCTAAGTCCAAGGAGGCCATAACAAAAAGAGAGGTAGCAAAGAGGCTTTAAATGCTTTACAGCTAGGGCTCCTGATGATGCCAACTACAACCTCAGGGTGATTGTAGTCATTAAATGTGAATAATCAAGAGTTGGACCTATTTTTAGACTGCTGTGTTCTGTCCTTAAAAGAATAACTGATAAAGTTGAGAATATCACAATTTTGCCTAGTGTTTAAGGGTACAGGTGTTGAGGTGAAACTATATAAGTTCACTACCTCCTAGCAGTGATAATAATGGCATATATACAATCTATGAAGATTGTGGGTAACAATTCAAATAAAATCTTTAGCACAGTCTGGCCTAAGCACTCCATACATAGTTGCTAGGATTTTCATCACCATGGTCAGAGCACCAATGCCTAGTAGAAATCCCGTATCATATGTCCAAGTAGGAAGGGACCTCAGAAATCTGCCAATTCAATTGCAAATCCAGGACAGTAACTCACTTTACCTCACATCCCTATTAAATGAGGTCCAGCATGTGTTTTCATACTTCTAAGCACAGGGAGTTCACCATCTCAAAGGCAGCTCATTGTGCTGATGAATCACCCTCATTGTTTTCTTCCTTCTAGTGAGCCCCAAGTCTGTCTTCCATTTTTCCCTTGAACACTTCAAAATTGAGCTATTATCATTTTTGCATGACAACTCTTCCATTACTGAAGGGTTTGCAAAACCCTTTCCAGCTCTTCTTTCTAGCTCTGGGGAAGAGGCTGGTACTTTCCATCGCACACCAACTTTCCCCCCACCTCTAGCTGCCACTGCCTGGGCCTAGTTGGAAGAAATAAGTTCCCTCTGAGATACAAGAGATCTATTTATCTCTTTTCTACCTCCCTTCCCATGACAAGTGAATCCCTGTTCTGTGAACACAACCAGTTAAACACACACATGCATACACACACACAGAGAGAGAAAAGTTGCAATTTATTGGTTGCTCTTTGGGGAAGATGATATAGAACATAATTGGGATTAAAATCAAATTCTAGTTACAGATTCATAAAACTTTGCTTTAAACCAAATTAACTTTTATGAGACTATTAAATCGCCTCTCATCCTCATACATAACAAAGTAACTCAATCATAGTCTATATAATCCTCTGTTGGTTTTCAATGATTAAAGCACACATAATACATAATGCAGTTGATATTAAATATCTTGAGAATGACAAATCAATAGAACTCCTTCCACTCTTAAGCATTAACTGGTCATTTAGACATGTTCTGTACATACACTTTTCATTTTAGATTTTCTCCTTAAAAGGACTTGTGAACTATTCATTATTATCTGCTTATTTGTATACACACGTCATAAGTCTTCCAAAATAACATTTAAAATATCTCTTCATATTGCTTCAGAAATGTTAACCTTTAAGGAACATTCGATTAAAAAAAAGCAAAAGCTCAGATCCTGACTCTTGTAACACATGTTCAGATGTGTCGAGATCTTATTATTTCCCTCTGACCTGATAAAAGCCTCCAACAACATACAATGTGCCACTTTTTCTTTGCTCAACTCAGAGGAAGTCAAATAAAGGAGAAAAAACAAATGCTCAAAATCACAGTGACCAAAGGATTTGAATTAATAATTACATTAAATAACCATAACTTTTTGTTTAACTATTCACATTCCACACAGTGGAAATTATTGTTTCCTCCAGATTTTTCACTTACATTTTTAACTTTGAAGAACTACAATAACAAAAAAACAACTTACAGACTTGCAGGATGTGTGTTTTTCTCTTTTAATGCCAAGCACAAAGTGTACATCATAAAATTCATATTTGGTGTTTGGCATTATTTTAACAGGAAAAATTGAGATCACAAATATCTTGCCATAAAAAAATTCTACTATAGTAATGAAAAAAACATACTTCTTCATCAGTGACTCCAATACAACATGTAATAGATATGGCACTTTCAATAAATGTTGGAAGACACACCATACTTTGCTAGTCTTAATTTAGGCACAGTAAGAAAAGCAGACATTTCCCTCTTTGGTTAGCACTGGTTTTTTGTTTTTGGTTTTTTTTTCAGGGTAGTTAGGCTGTTGATTATCCCAGTGAAGTTAATTTTGAGGAAATTCTCTTTACTTAAGCCAAATCCGACTTACATGCAAGACTGTGGTACAAGCTACTAAAAGAAGATTACTGCTGCCAACTTAAGTCATCTCTTTTTAACAAAACTGCATGCTTGTGGCAGAGTTAAAACAACAAGAGAAATTCAGTGTCTGCTGGTTCTAAATGTCATTTTTCCTCTTCTAGTGTGGTTTCACATGTTCAGCTCCTTCCCCTTTCTTTTCCTCTCCCCCACCCTCAAAATTCTGGCTTAGTATTTGTGTGCTTAATTAAATCCATTCTGTGCTTTATTGTTGGAGGATGTGGATGATAGAAGGATTTAGGGCAGGGGCATACAGTGTACACGAAATACATGGACTGTGTGTTCGGACAAATTTGTCTCGTGTGGAATCATCAGTAGTGAGTTCAAAAGTTTCAAAATTCGGCCCAATATTTTGGGTGTTCAGGATAACTTCTGCCTCAAAGCATGGTTCTGGCTTAGCTGTTAGATGGGAGAGCGCTGCACCAAAAAAAAACAAAAAAACAAAAACAAAAAACAATAAAAGCAGCTTCTTTAGTGCAATGCTGGCGCCTGGATGGGCAACTAAAATGCTAGTTGATGGTGCTTGTTTCCCATATCACACGTGACTTGGCTATCGAGGATGAGAAGGTACAAGGCAAAAAAAAAAAAAAAAGTGGGGCGTGGGGATGGGTTTACACAGAAAACCTCAGGCTTGAAGAGAATAGGTGAGCCAAATCCAAAATGCAGTAAGGTCCACCTGCCCTGCACTTTGGCCGTTAGATAAATCCTAAGCAGGGATGGGGAGGAGCCCGAGTTTAATCAGAGGAGGGGTCTACCAGTAGGTTCTGAACAATTACAATGTTACCTGAATCCCACCACCAGTAGAGAGACAGCTAATGCACCCAAATGCCTGGATTTTTTTTTTCCCCAAATGCTCTGATTTCTTAACTGGGATTTCTCATTAGACCCTGAGAAGGCAAAGGAAGAAGGGGAGGACACATCCTTTATACCTCCTCCCAGGCATTAAACTACTCCTTAGCCAGAGGCAATCACCTTTCTTTCTTTCTTCTCCTCTACTCCCCAGCTCAATCTCCTACCAACAGCTAAAACAAAAGGACCCCCAATATACTTCTAGCTCAACTAAAGCAGTCCCTCATCTCCCCCATCTTAGCCTGGTTCTTCACTGCCAGGGACACTTAGCAGAGGCAGAATCTTTATAATAAGGGTTGTGGCTCTCAGAAGCATTACACAGAAATAATGAACTGGGAAAGAGGTGATTACAACCAAGCAAAAGGAAAGGTATGAGGACCTTCTGCTTATGAGGTGTTTGTTTTCTTCCTATCCCTGCATAGAGTGCTCTGAACTACATCTATTTTCTGAGGGGCGAAGCAGGGGGTGGGGGTCGCCTTGGTTTTGCTCACTCACGGGGTTCTGAAAATAGGGGTGGTCAATGTTTATGTTTTAAGTTTGGTGTTAGGTTACAGCCAATTTCAGCAGATCACAGTGACAGCCAAAGTTAGTGATTTTTTGGCAATTTCATTTCTCCTCTGTTCACTTGGTTTTGGTTAAATACCAGGGAAAAACTCGCTGAAGCATGGGTCGCCCTGTGTTTTGGGGTTGGCCTTTCACGACTCTGCAGGTCTCCCTATGGAACTTGTGCTGTGCCCAGCTGGTCCTCCCCCTCCGTCCCTCCCTCCACCCCCTCCTGTGTCCTTCTTGCCCTTTGCGCGCCCACCAGGCTCCCGGAGTCGGGAGACCCTTCCCAAAATAAGAAACAGTCACATCTGTGGTCAAGTGAGCTAATTTCGAGTCCCTGGCAGAGAGGGAATTAGACCGAAATAGTCACTGAGATTCTAAGAAGGGATGGGTTGTGGAAGAGAGGAGGAGGAGGGGAAGAAGCAAGCACAGGTGGAAATACCCTTTCCAAGTAGAATGCAGCACTAAAACAGGTCTCTTGCCCTCAGAGTAGCCTCTTGCGTTAACATTCATTCAGAAGGGAGATTCTGGTCCCTGGAAGGGCACATGGAATACACCGGCAGAACCTGACTGCAGCCCTGCCCCTTTTCATGTGCCCCCCCCCCCCCGGTGTAGGCTTTCTGTGCCAGCCCCATGTAAGCGGATACGTTTGCATAATAGGAAGTGCCCTCCTCTGGCGTCTGCAACCCCCCAGACACCCATGCACACTCATGCACACAAACTACGCACTAGCAGGCTCCTGTCAGAAGGCAGCTGGCGGTTCTTCTTGCCTGTAGGTTGAAGCCAAGTAAGAATCAGGTCGTTTTAGGTCTGGCTCTGGGCCCGCCCGGGGCTGCATCCCTAGGACAGGCTGGGTGTGCCCAGCTTAATCCAAATCGATGGATATGCATCGACACTGCTTGACTCGCGTGACCCTCTTCTTCTTGGTGGGCGGCTGCAGTTCGGGGCAGTTGAGTGTGACCATCATGGTGGTGAACTTCTTGGGCTTGCAGAAGGAGCAGGACTGAAAGGAGCCTTCCTCCTTCCGGATGTGCCTGGGGATGTAGAAGGAGTTGCACTGGCCGTAGCAGAAGCGGTTGATGATGGTGCGGCTGTTGCAGCCCTCCTCGTGGATGGTCTGCTTCAGCGGCTGGGTTTTGCACCAGTCTCGCTTCAGGTATTTGCGCTCGGTCACATGCAGGGCCTCCTGGCTGGACTCCAGCACCTCCTCCCCGGGCATGGCCGTGCCACGCCCTTGGCCACGCCCCCGGTTCCTGGAGCCCGGCTGCTGGGGAGACTGAGTCTGCTCCGAGTCATTGTGCTGGGCCTTGTCTGGTGGGGGGATGGCACCTTGGGACCCCTTCTTTTTCCCTTCAGCGGTGGGCAGCAGGGTCCCCAAGAGGAGAAGCAGGGCTCCCACAGTGTAGGCGGTGCGGCTCATGCTATCGGAGGGAAGCACAGAGAGGGGAGACACAGAAGACGGACAAGTCAATTCGAAAATTAACAGCAGCTAACATTTTATCAGGCACTTGTTAAACACTATGTGAGATATTTCATTTTCTTCTCACAATATCTCTATGAATCAGGTGTTATTATTCTCATATCTCCGCTCCCCCCCCCCCCATCGTCAAGCCACGAAGTACCTTGCCCAGGGTCACCTGCGAATAAGCCAAGGTCTGAACTCAGCCAGGCCCTATCTCTTCATGGCATGTCCTCCCACCGGAATTCCTTCCTGGCTGCTGACACCAATCACATCTAAAGTTGTCTCATGGTCACTTAATTGTATTCGTTCTTGTGTTAGGCCAAATTACCTTTGCACCTCTCTGGGGAAACCCAGTTTTCTATTTAGTTTTACAGCAAGACAAATCTGCCTCACTGTCCAGGCTTCATCTGCCAGGAAAGACTCCCAGTCTCTTTTTCTCCCCAACTGGCCTGAGCCCTTCCTGAGTTGTGCCTTGTTCGGTTGGTTGGATGCTTAGGAGATGTTCGCTGATAGCGTGCATTGCAAGGAAACCTCTGGAGGAGACAGGCAAGCAGCCGAGGTAGGGAGAGCACTTAGCAGGAGCAGCACTGGGTGCAAAATCAAGACTGAGTTTCCAGTCCAAGTCTTGGGGCAACAACTTTCTATCTGACCTTGAGAAAATCACTTTGCTTCTCAAGAAATGACTTCATGTAAGCACAGGTACAAAGACCTCATATCTCCCCAGATAGGCTGTTCAGATCAAATTTGAGGTACAAAGGAAAGCAATTTTAGAACTAACCAAATCTATGGCAGGATTGCAGACAGAATGAATTACCTTTCCAGAAAGATCACATTAACTCCTAAGACTCCTGGACCTCTCACCTGTTCTCATTTCTAAATGGGCATAGCTATTTTTTGTATCATTCATGGTATCATGATATACATTTTTCTACTTTTAAATGGTGAAATAGGTCATTCACCTGTGTGTGTGTATCTGTGTATGTAACATCTAGGAGGTAGAAAATGGCACAGGAAAACAGGCATGTGCAAATATTTACACTAATAAATGCCATGGACATGTAGAATAAATCAGTGATAGTGAATTACTATGGATAGGCCTGGAGTTAGACATGGGTCGGAAGGGCAATGAACAATGGCAAAAAAAATTAGATAAGTGGGGAGGCAGAGGGAAAACTAACAAAACAAACAAACAGGAAAGCAAAGATGGAGAGAGAGAAGAATGTAAATCAGGGAAAGGAGGGCTCATCTAGAGGCAGAGTGTTAAGGGAAGGTAGGACAGAGGAGCAAAAGGAGAAGCCTGAGCATATTTTTGAAGAGTGCAAGCATCACCCTATTGAGATTCTCCTGACACAGTGCCTCTCAAACCTCAATGAGCAGATGATCGCCTGGGGGTATTGTTAAAATGCAGATTCTAATTCAGTAGGTCTGCCTTCCTAACAAGCTTTGAGTAGCAAGGCCTGTAGCACTTGCAATCCTGAGGCACAGAAAAGAGTTATTAAAATGTGGAAGGATTTTCTTTTCAAAGAGTGCAATTGCAAATTCACAGCCTCCCTCTCAGGCCATCTTACCAAATCTGACCTGAATCTTGAGGCTTCCCCTATCCCCCAGCCCCCATTCCCACCATGGTTCTGAACCTATGGGGACCGCTGGGAAGTACCCATTTCCCTCCTCTCTTTTGTACGCCAGCATTACATATAATAATGTACAATTTAATAGTAACCTTATCACGTCCCCCCAAGGAACTATACAAGTTGGCATGATCAGCTAAAGCAATTACCTTTCAAAGACAAAGGCCCTGTGGAATCTACACTCTCTAAGCAATAGTCCCCGTAAGTAAAGACTATGCAACCCTAAGGATAATGTCAAATTAAGATAATTAAATATTAAATTTAAAATATCCTTAAATGGCACCATTTTTCCAACATTAACCTAATACTTTGGGGCAAGTTCAAGTTTGGAACTGATAATGTGACATTTAGCTCCTGTTCTTTGGACTGTAGACTCCCTGGCTTTTGTCAGTTTATGTTACAACATCCCTGATCTTTAAACAGAGCCTTTTTTGCCTCAACAACAAAAAAATTAATTTCCTTGTTTTGTCTTTAGAAAAATCACTCATGAGAAAAGTCCAGTTATAAAACAGTGCTGATTTTCTCCAGAGACCAGGATAACTTGAGCCATGACAGTTCAGGCTCCTAGGCAAATATATTGTGAATTTGAGACGCTTTTACAAATTTCTGCTATTTATTCCATTGGGGGCCAGGATCTAAACTAAAATTCAGTCTCTGCCCATTTCAAAGAGGAACATGAGACAGCCGTAGGCCTACACCCACAGTCTTCCCTCCTCCCTACTGAAAATGGCCCCAAGGACAATTCAGCCCTCCCAGAGCAAGACCCTCTGAGTCCAACATCACAGAGGCCAATCTGAAACTGACTGGGAATGTACATTGTGTGCATAGGACAGTTCATGTCATAAAGCCATCCCCTCCCACAAACATCTGTCCAAAAAATGGCAATTTCCTTTCTCCAGACCAACATGGGATTCTTTTTATGCTCAACTTTTCCTTCCTGGCATTTTCACATCTGTCATTAAATAAATACCTAGTCTGAGAGTCATGAGGACTTATTCATCACCTTATCCTCAGTGCCTGGTGCAGAATAGGTGCTCTTCTGTTAAATAAATGCTTGTTATGGACCACAGTCTCCGTTTTCATTTTTAAAATGCCTTCACATGTGCCAATGAGCAGCCGAGCCTGACAATCTTTTTTTTTAAGATTTTATTTATTTATGTCAGAGAGAGAGCACAAGAAGGGGGAGAAGCAGGCTCCCCACTGAGCAGGGAGCCCGATGCGAGGCTCCATCCTAGGACCCTGGGTTCCTGACCCAAGCAGAAGGCAGACGCTTAACTGATTGAGCCACCCAGGCATCCCCTAACACAATCATCTTAATTTCTGACTTACAGTATTAGCAAACTCTTAGCCTAGAAGTACCTTAATATTTGTCTTTCTTTTTCTAGGGAAACTTCAGATAGCCACTATTTTTTACCTGGTCCCATGCACAATGCTGTGGGTTTCATTTTCTAATTGAAGCCACTGTATTCACTATGGCGGAAACCAACAATAAAGCAAGCAGTAAATTCAAAATTAGTCAACTGTGGTTTTCAGTTTTAATTTGGACAGACTTCCTGTTCCTATGGGAGCGTGCGAACCCTGTAAGCCCAAGGGGTCTGGAATGACAGGCTGTTTTCTTATTTTTTTGTTTTTTAAGAAAAGTAAATTTTTCTCAAAATAAGGTTTATTAGGTGTGGAAAATGTTATAAAATGGTTTTTTCATTTTTTAGAAAAGCCTACTTTTTAAGATCTTTAGTGCTTATTGTGAGGCTTTTGACTCTTTAAAACTTGTAACTAGTTATTTGGAGAAAAGTAAAAACCAACTTAAGGAATTTCAATCAACACAGACCTCCCCTTAAAGAACAGTGGTACTCTGAAGGACTCTGCATATTCCACATGAGTAAGAGTTAGAAGGTTAAGAACTCTAATAGTACTAGAACCAGGGCTCTGTCAAGTCATTGTGGTCAATCACCCAACCTCCCCCCACAAACACACACACCACAGACTGGTCATGATTACTCAGTGAAGAAAAAGGGACTGTTTTGTTCTTGAAATCCCAATGGTATTGCCACCAAATAATCTGCACTTTGTAAATATCACAAACGTGCAGGAAATCATGAAGATGTAAATTTCTTGAGACAATTCTTTTCCATATCAGCACCTCACAGAATGCCCCATTATCAAAAATCAATCCAAATCTTAATCAAACCTCAGGTTCCTATGAATTATCCCTCATGCCCAACCATGAGCTGCAAACATTTTTGGTAATTTGCATTCATGAAATGACCCACTCACATCATTGAGGATGAGCTGCATTTTGTGGGTCCAGAGTGCATCAGGACACCCAAAAAGACCTCCCTTTACACTCATTGCAGACAACATTCTTTTCAAAATTTGCCTCAACTTCTCCTTAATGCATTTCTGCTTCTCCAAGTAATGTGATATATTCGTGGTGAGCTTTCTCTGCAATCGCTCTCCATCAGCAAGACCCACCCACCCCACCTGTTTTCCCTTCACTACTGTCCTCCCCTCCAATCCACTTGTCCCAGAGGACATAGATACTCTCAAAGCAGTTCTTCTCTACCTGATGCTTTCCTCTACCCGCTGGTTTCCCATAGTGATCAAGAGATATGGCTTATCCCACACCTCTGTCCTGTGTAGGTCATGGTGATTTATTCCAATCTTCACAAGGCTCTACGAACACAATCATCTAACTCTAGGGAATCAGAAATAAAAATGCTCTGTGTGACCAGTATCCAATATTCTCAACGTCTTTGGGCAAGTTTAGGTCAGCTCCTTTTGGCACTCTTCTTGCTGTATTTCTCATTTTAGCTAACCAACCTGCTTATAATCAGTTAAATGGAGTGCTGAGTGGGAATTACAGTGAATTGACAATGGTCAGCAAGCCAGATGTCTATGCCTGAACATCTGATCGACTCCTCCTGATGAATTAAGTTTTAGAAAGACGTTCAACAGGCATGACATCAAATTATTCTCCCAGTAGAAGAAAATAATTAAAGTGACAGCAAATGCTCTAAATGCAGGCCAGATTTTAGAATAATCTCTTCCTTTTTCTCAGAACTAAATCTTTGAGAAGAGAAAGATTATTTTTAACTTGATCTTGAATTTTTAAAAAGATAGCTTTTATTTTTTTTTAAAGATTTTATTTATTTATTTGACAGAGAGAGAGACAGCGAGAGCAGGAACACAAGCAGGGGGAGTGGGAGAGGAAGAAGCAGGCTTCCCGCTGAGCAAGGAGCCCAATGCGGGGCTCGATCCCAGGACTCCAGGATCATGACCTGAGCCAAAGGCAGACACTTAACGACTGAGCCACCAAAAAGATAACTTTTAGAAGTTAAGTAGATAATTTCATAAGAATATACTGGGTCGATTTTTTTTTCCAGACAAGTTGAACCAAGAAGATAAGAATTACTTGCTTGCAAACTAGTAGAGGATAAAGTCTCATCCTGTATGAGTTCCAAGATCCTAACTACAGCCACCTTATTCAGAAGACCATTCAAGCTAAATCTGGCTGGCCTCCCACATCGCACAGTACAGAAAGGAAACCACCAGGTAGTGAAGTATCTCAGGAGCTCTATGCTCACTGGAAGATTTTTTGCTGAAGTGAATGATTGTATACAATTTTTGAGGTCAACAGGAAACAAGTTAGAAAGTCATAAATATTCACTGAGCAGCGCTATTGAGAGTCAATCTATAGGTTCTATATTGTGATGCAAGATGTGTGCTAGTCTGAATTTGGGATTTAATTTCAGAACCACCTTGTAATATATCTGGTGCTGTATAATGTTACTGCCTCTTCCAATACCACCACCAATAATAAGAGTTATCTATATTTTTGAACCTTTACCATGCATGGCATTGTGCATAAATCAGACTGTATTTTATCATTTCTTTTTCACGATAGAACATGAGGTAGAAAATATTGTCTTCCTTTTATCAATCAGGGAATCCAGAGTCAGAAAAGTTAGGAATCTGCCCAAGGTCAAACAGCTCTTCAGTTGGAGAGTCAGGGTTGGAGACCCATTCTACCTAGCCCCCAAACGTGTCTAACCACTCTTCTATGGACACCCTGCACAGTACTTAACAAGGGACGCGTGGACTTGTTTCTAATGCAATACAGTTTGAAGAATATTGTAAGTCAAATAATTATCTAGTTTGTATCTTGATGTTCACATGTGAAAAAAAAAAACTTCTGTTGTCCCAGGAATTACTGTTGTACTTTGCATTTCTAAGAGCATATGTTAAAACTAAAGAAAATTCCTTGCAGATGTAAGGCATGGGCTGGTAACACTTGCCTGATCTGTGCCTTTCAGTTGGATGCTACAGTTACCTCCCCAACACCCCCCCCTACTTTTCTTTACATAAAAGGGTTAGGTTTTCCCACCAGTCCTTAACTCTCTCTTCTAGGACATGCTCCACAGCTTCGCTGTTGACAAGCATTTCTTTGGAAAGGGGTCTGTGGCATAAAATTTCTTGGCCTTATTTCACTTGTGATACTTAAACATTAAGACCGAGGGCTTCAGTTTAGAAGACAAGGCAGGCAGCTCTGATTCAAAGATGTGAGGACACAGTAGGTTTCTACTCTTCTCTGTCTAATCATTCACATAAAGACTGTGTCAGCCAACTAGGATTTCCTATAGATTGTGGGTTACCAAAACGTTTCACTCAAAATGGACTTTTAAGAAACTAGGAAACCTGTAAAATTACGAAGTTTACAAAAGACTTTAATTCCTACAATGACCTGAGCGTTAAACACACACACACAGAGCAACTGTGGTTCTAAAGAACTGTTCAATAATTAGTTAATACTACAACTGGAGAGTGCAATTTTTCCAGTGATAGCAATCAAATCACCTACTGTTGTAGACTTGCGTGGGCCAGGGAGATGAGGCTGTAGTTTTCTTAAGATCCTTCCCTTGTTGCTTTGAAATGCCCATCTCTTCAGGGCCCCTAGGCCCCCCTTCCAAAAAAAAGAAGAAAGAAAGAAGAAAAGAAAGAAAGAAAGAAAGAAAGAAAGAAAGAAAGAAAGAAAGAAAGAAAGAAAGAAAGAAAGAAGAAAGAAAGGAAAGGAAAGGAAAAGAAAGAAAGAAAGAAAAAGAAAGAAAGAAAGAAAGAAAGAAAGAAAGAAAGAAAGAAAAAGAAAGAAAGAAAGAAAGAAAGAAAGAAAGAAAGAAAGAAAGAAAGAAAGAAGAAAGAAAGGAAAGGAAAGGAAAAGAGAAAAGTAAAGAAAAGAAAGGAAGGGGTCGGGGCTGAAAAGCCCTGGGGTGAAAGAAGACTCCCCACCCTGGAATCGGGGTTATTTTAACCTCTTCTCTGCTATTTATTTAAGTTGTGTGTACAGCCAAAAGGAAGCCACCACTCTGGGGTCCCTGGGACAGCTTAAATCCCCGTGACGCACTTAACACAATAGATTGTTTTAATCAACTCGTGTCCTGGCACCATCTCGAAGGGGGAACATAAACAGACGCGCACACCGCTCGGATCTGCTTTTTCCAGCGAGAGATCCAATTACCTACCAGTGGTCGGCTCTCTGCCCTTGTATCATTTAAGGAGAGATTTTAACCCCTAACGTCGAGGCTTTATTTCTATGTAAAAGTGCTGCCATTCTAAGTCGACAGAGGAGGAGAAGGCGGCAGCCGGATTCAACCCGGAGACCCATTCGGGCCATCTCCGGGAGCGCGGGAAGGGCTTCACGGCAGAGGCCCGGTCACCGCCTGTCTGCCTCCGCCTCGCCCGGGGACTGTCTCCAGAGCCCCCCGCGGGGAAACACCCGGCTGAGGCTGCCCCCAAGGCGGAGCTGGGATCCGAAGGCAATGCCAAGCCAGAGCAGTGGCGCGTCCGTTCTTATCGCTCCGGCCGGCAAGGTGATAGCCCCTCCGACCCCGGGCCTGGCGACGGGGTCAGCGAGACGGAAAGAGAGAACGGGGGACGACCGGGGCGTCTGAGCCGCCAGTCCCGCGTTGTTCGTCGCTAGCGAGACTCAGCGAGGGGGGCGGGGGCCTCTAGGACACAAATTAAGGAGTACCGGGGAAACGGGACCCGGAGGCTTGGCGCTGCCTGGCCCCTGGCCGTCGGCGCTTCAGCCGAGGCGCGCGTGGGGCGGGGAGAAGTCTAGAAGACTGCACCGAGCGCCCACGCGTGCGCAGCCAGCCGGTGGATGTGTGCGGTGTTTGTGGTGTGAGCACTGCGGGCTCGCTGGACTCTGAGGCCCCGACCGCGCACAGCCCTTCAGCTGACCCGTTACCCGACGCTCGGGTTTCCACCGCGGCCGAACTCCGCGGCTCTGTTCTCGCCCGAGTCTCCATCTCACCTTGAGGGCGAGCCAGTGGACCCACGGCTCATTCTCCGGACCCTGCAGCCCACCGCAGGATCACTCTTGGGACTCCGACGGGAGCCCCCAGACGTCCCGAGCCCCAGCGCCCCGCTTCAGACACGTGGCACCCTCTCAGTGCGGCTTGCCGGGGGGTCCGGGGTGGAGCCGCAGGTCCCGGCTGCTCCCCGCCGCTCCCGCTACGCGCCCACCAGGACTCCGCGCCTCTGAGCTGCCTGCGCGGCTGGCACACGCACCAGGAGCGCGTTAGCTGGCCTCCCGGAGATGGAAATGGGATGCGGGGCAGTAGCTCTCGCTCTTGACATCCTCCTTCCCAGGCTTTCCCGGAGGACCGCGCAAGGTGAGGTTACGGCAGCCAAGACCTTGCGGGAAGGACCCTGGATTTTTCGGCATAATTCACCCTAGGGAACCGGGGCCTCGATCTGCGCGCCTGGAGGGCTACCGCGTGTCTGCACCGAGCGGGACGCGGGAGTCTTTTGCAGGGGAACCCCTGCGCGCGCGCTCTCCCTCTCTCTCTCATTCTCTTACTCATTCTGACGGCAGCCTCTGCACTCACCTGTCAGTGCGGCGGGTCTTCGGGGCTTGCGCTCTCGACACCGGGCGCGGTGTGGGACCGCGGCCCGAGCCGCCCCGGCTTGGCGCGGGGTCAGCCGGACAGAGAGCACGGCTCTCGCTGTACACTGGGTCGCCCGGTCCGCGGAGGGCGCACCGAGTGCGGGGCATCGCGCCGTCTCCCGTTTAAATGCCGGCAGCCGAGCCGGACGCCCGGGGCCGCGCCTCTCGATTGGCCAGGCGCCGCCGCCGCCGCCGGACCCGCTATCCGCCCCCTTTCCCGGTACTGCCCCCGCCCCCCGCACCCCTCCTGCCTCCCGCGGGGTCCCCTCTCCGCCTGCCTCGCCTCTTTGTCTGCTCCCCCCGCCCAGGCCGGCTGGGAGAGGTCACCCCAGGGAACCGCGCCTGGAATGCACAGCAAATCACATTTTCCGCTCCCGTTGGAGGGGGAAGCGCGGGAGGAAATCCCCCCGGCTCCCGGCCCCTCATTCCTCCTCCGCCCCAGGCCTGGGCTTTTCCTCTCACCAGCCCCGCTTCGCCTGCGTTGGCCCCGCAACGCGCTCGGTCGCAGAGGCTGCCCTGGAAAGAGCAAGATCTCCGTGGGATCTCGACAGACGAGGCGATTCTTGCCCCGTGGCGGGAGCGGGACTGCAGGATGCTCTCGTTGAGCGGTCGCCGCGGCTCCGGCGCGGCTCGGCCCGAGGCCCCCAACTTCGAGGGCGCTGACCCCCGCGCCCCCGTTAACCCCGGCGGGCTCGCCGGCCGCCAGCAGGAGCCTGTCTCCAACATGACACCCTCCTCTCCTCGCCCGCCGCCGTTTTTTTCAGCTCAGATGCTGACGGCCTCGGCAGAGAGTGTACGGAAGGGAGTAACGGAGGGGAGAACAAACCTAAAAGGACCCTCAGAAGTCCAGGTTTCCATTTCTAAGCCATCTTTAAACGGGAGAGAACAATAGCTATGAGAGAAGAGGCTTTCCGTAGCATGTTCAAGATGAATAAACCAGGAAAATAAAACGTCAGGCGAGGAAGTAACTTCCCAGCAATAGAAGACAAAAACCCCCCCGTTCGTGAAAAGCCGGCGTCACATTCTGTATTTATTACCGAGAACCCAATGGATAGTGGCGAACATACCAAGCGCATAAATATTTTTCGAAAGATGAGCGAACACTTTCATTTGTTCTCTTAGCTCGAAAATTGGTTCCTCAAAGAAGCCGTAAATTCTGTGTGTCGAAGTTATAGCCCGTGCAAAAATCAACCCGGCTGCAAGGTCTGCAGACCGGCTCCACCAACCAGGTCAGATGATGACTTGGGGCGGGGGGCGGGGGGGGGTAGGAAATTTGAAGGTGCCTGTACTCACTAAAGCAAAATAAACAAAACAATGAAACCCAACAAAAGGTATTTAGGAAGCAGTCCTGATTTAAGCATTTGGCTAAGAAAACAAAACAAAACCCCAGAATAGCATGATTTTTTTCTCGAGGCAGTCATTGTGGGGAGGCGGCAAGAAACACTGAACACCTAGTAGATATTCTTAAGAACTTGAAATCAATTTTTCAAAATAAATGAAACAAGGAGGAAGTCTGCATTAAATCAATAGCTAGAGAATCTTCATCACCGGAATGCGTTGTTTGTGCAATCTGCAGTTTCTACCCGTAAACTCGGTGCTCCGCTTTAAATTTCGTTTCCAATATTTTTTTGTTAAATCGTCCCATGTAGTTTGTAGTTGCTTGCAGAAGGCGAACATTCAATAGGGCTTAAGGGTTGAGGCTGGTGGAGTGGGCTGTAGGACATGAGGGGTGGTCAGAAGTACACAGAATGCTTAGACAATTAACAGTCCAGTCAAAGCCCACCACCTATCTGTAGAAGCCAGTTTTGTCTCTGGGCGTCAACTATGCCCCCCAAGAGAAAGGAACATATTTTACAAATGCATTAACTCCTTCTAATTTAAAATCAATGTTTTGGTCACTTTTTTTTTTTCCCCTTTCAAAACTCATATAAACAGCCCCAAATAAAAATACATTGACAGAGCTTACCTTCTGAATTGGAAGTAACTGTTTTGGAACCCTGAGACTGTAGTTTGATATATCTCAATCTATCTCTGTGACTGTTTCTATCATATGTCTAGTAAATGTTGTTGATAGCACTATGACCCCTCCCTGGGAGGCTTCTCAGACCACAGTCTCTACAATAGAAACACTCCTGCCCCCACCCCACCACTCCACAACTCTGTCCCATTTCATTGAGTCCTGTCTCTTTAGTTTCACTCACTCTCCCTGCCACTACAATGGAGGCTTCATGATGGCGGGGACTTTGCCTATAGTGGTCACTCAGATTACACCAAGCTCATAGAATACAAAGTGCCTAAGACAGACTTAGGATTCAACAAATAGTTGTGAACTGGGAATGTTCAGCACGTGCCCACTAACTAGGATTAGCAACTGAGCTGAACGCTGAGGCTATAACCATCATGAGTATGGTAAACATGGGCCCTCACCTCACAGAGTTTATAGTCGAGCATATTTGTAAATATTTATATAGATATCCAAGCTTTTGGCCTCATATTTGTGTTTCCACAGCTCTCAACCAGTCATTGCAAACCATTATCCAATCAGGGTGAAGGCGTAAGAGTAAAAACTCTTCAGGCCTCTTTAACCATAATTACATAATTGAAACCTGCTCTTAGTAAGAGGGGGAAGTAGTAGAAGGACTCCATGGAGTCAAAGTTAAAATTTTAAATCTGGGATGCCTAAACAGTGATCACTAAGTGATAAATGTTACTTACAGAAACTACTTGCAAATTACTTTGAGGCTGTTTTGAGAAGTGTAGATCCTGCTCAGCTACTGTTTTATTAAAGGAGAATCTATTTCTCTTGTTTTGCTCACCTATCTGTAGCGTGTGTTTGTCTCCGTCTAACTCCCAAGATGCTAAGAGGGGGTTACTCTTCAGATTTGGGGAAGAACCTTGAAGGCCTTTGTAGGGAAGTTTTTGCTCAAATCTGCAAAAGCTGTTCACCTAATAGCAGAGATTATGTACGTCATCTTGCATTGGATTAAGGAAGAAAAAAAACCCTTCACCCATTTGGAACTGACCTGGTATGCCCTTCCTAAAGGAAAAAAAAATGTGATGATGAACTTGACAATGGTTAAAGAAAAAGATATTGCAACGGTCAAATAACAGCTAAATGATTCATATCCAGAATGAATTTCTCTTATACATTAATAAGAAAAAAACTCCCCAAATCACCCAATAGGAGTTGGCAAAGCACATGACTGGGCACTTCACAAAGGAAGAAACCCAAAGGGCCGATAAACATGAAGAGCCCCTAGATTATACTAATAAATCAAGAAAATGCAAACTGAAATAAGAAGATGCCCTTGCTGAGCTCGCAGTCTGCCACTATCCAGTGTTGAAAAGGGTGTGGAGAAGCAGGCACTTAAGTGCATTGGCAGTGAGAGTATATTGGTAGGACCATTTCACAGAGTAATTTGTCAACATGTGATAAAATCCAGCATGCCCCTAGTATACCTCTCAGCCATTCTAATTCCAGGGAAGCACCTTACAAGAACTTGAGCCCATGTATGAGGCCTAGAATTGTGTGAGCACTTCCACTGCAGTATCCTTTGTTTGTCTCAGCTCAGGGTCGACTCCTGGCTATGACCCTTGCCCTCTGTGCATAAGCAGTAAAACGTTGACCAGTTGAACAATGCATGTCCATGTGAAAATTCTGAACAATGCTGCCAAAGACAGGCACATGAACGAATAAATCGGGCAGACCATTTTAATACAATTGGGACCTAATTCCATACAAGTATTTATTGTCTACAGTACATGTCCAGTGCCCTATGAAGAAGATAAAACCATAAAAGTCTGGACGTGGTCCTTCACAGTCAATATGTAGGCCCAGCAGGAAAAGCATGGAATTTTCGGCAAAACAAAATCAGAATACATTTCTGACGCCTCCTCGTAGGAAATGAGTGACCCTGGGTTAGATATTTAAACCCTCTGAGCCTAAACTCAATCATCTGTTTTATAGGGGTGGTAATAATACCTACTTCTGGGTAGATGATGGAATTAAGTACAATAAGTTCCATGAAAATTCCAGACGCGCAACAGACGCTTAATAAACAGGAGTGACTGCATGGATACTAGAGTGTAATTGGGAGCTAAGACAAAGACAATGAAAATGTACTATCAGCATGGGTCATGCCTTGGGTACCTTTATACTCACAGTGCATAATGCATTGGATGGCACATAATAGGTAGTTGATAAAGTTACTAAAGGAGTACATGCCTAGGGGAAAGGAAGTGACTGACAGTGACAGAGGGAGGGAGAGGATGAAGGAATGTAGGAAGGAAAGAAAGGAAAGGAGGCAGGGAGGGAGGAAGACAAGAGAGGAAAGGGAGGGGTGGGGCGCGGGAGTGGAGCGGTGGGGAGGGAAGGGAAGGAGTGATACCCTTCCAGTAAATGGCGCAGCAACTTCTATTTTTGGTAAGACCAGCAAATGGTGTAAATACCCCAGAGAGGGGCACAGGCAGAACAGCAAACCCTTCTGGCTCTCTTTTGCCTGCGTCATAAGAATCACTTTAACCAAAAGTTGGAGTTCTCAGAATATGTTCACCGCAGGGGCAGAATCTGAGGAAGAATCCAGAAGATGCCTGAACGTGAAGCAAGAGAGGCTGGGCTTCCCATGCCGAAGGCTGCCGGGCAGAGACGTGGGAATGCAACAAGACAGAAAGGCAGACGGAAATGGATTTCTCAGCAAAAATTCACAGACCCGGTGCCCAAATATAACAGAACCTGCTGGAAATGAGGCTCCCACCTTCGTCTGCAGGCTGGGTGACTCCTTAAGTCTGGGAAGTTTCTATTTGTTTTGAGCTCTTTGATGCCGCTTCACTCAGAAAAAAATGGAACTTTAATCGGTTATTGATTCTCTGCTTTTCCTTAGCGCTTGAACGGCTGTGGTTCTTCATTTTCTAAATCTTTTGAGGTACACTTTCCAAGAAAAGCTCATTCTGCTACAATCTTAAAATGCCAGTGCCTTGCAGAAGATCTGCTGGAAGTGCTTATTAAACTGAAGGTCTCTGGGCTTTACCCCATTGTCTTTAGCTGCCCTGCCCCTTCTTTTACTTTTGGCTTATTCAACTCATTTCCAGCTTTT